GGGCAAAGTACATAGCTGCAATAGCTTTAGCAAATACATATATAACCTAAGGAAAGATTGTGATTTAACCATACAGAAACTTTGTAATGGTCATAATAGCCAGAAGAAGATTTTCATTGTCATGTCTGATCTAATTATTCATTGACATCTGCAGTCCATTTAGAATAATTTGAGAATTTATGGAGATTTCCTTAAAAAAAAAGCCATACACTCACAGAAGAGCCCAGCCAAGCCCCTGTGAAAATAGTGCCCGCTGTTGATGTTTTTTGCTATCAATCAGAAACATTTGCATCATGTTGCCAATTTACTGTGCACCTCTTACTGCAAGAAGGGGGCAAAACAGAAATTTATAACCTAAACCATCTAATCATTTTGCTAACAAAGAAGTTGTCCTTTAAAAGCATTGATCTCATGGCAAGTTCCAAGCACCCTTCAGCATCAGGAAAGGTTAAGGCATCGGGGCTGGCACAAGGCCATTCAGTTATGTGTATAAATTGATTTGGGGCTTTTTTTGCAATTGCTTGTCTAGACTGATGAATTAGTATGTAGACATGAATACATATTAAAGTTGAAGAGCAGAAGTTTGTTTTAGGGAGATCACAGGGACTATAGGGGTAGCCAATGAGGTAATACCTCATCATGACCAGTGCCCAGTGACCTTGGAGTTTAAACACTTCAGAGCAAAAGCCTGCTGAGACAAGCAGGTGCCAGGTGAATTCATACATTAAGAATGCCCCAAAGCAACAATCACCTATTTAGTCGCTTCTTTTTTTGGACTTTGGGCTGTGTCCCAGGATGCTCCTTGGACATAACCTTGAAATGATCAAAAACTGTGATTTCATACCTGAAGCCCAACCCAACCCATCTGTTTTCTAAATTGTTTGTTAACAGTTTATACTTCCTCATTTTCAAATTAATGGGATTTGTTATAGGATACAAGATAAGGATGATTTTCTTATTTTTCTGTTTAAGATCAGTAGTGTTTCCTTACTTGCCATTAAAATAGCCAGTGTTAGCCCTACAAACAAAGAAATCTGAGAATGAGCATATAAACTCTTAAATACAGACATACTCTTCTTAGAAGATCAACATGGGCAGCAGGCTGACAAACATGCACACACCACCCACACCTGAAATGCCACTATTTTTAATGCGATTCTTTACAAATTGCGATTCAAGCTCAAACATGAACATCCCTGAGCACATTTTTTAATTAGAAAAGTATTAGCCCTGGCTTTGCAGAGGGGGGACGTTACATAATTAGCAAGTGGTGAAATCAACAGAAAATCTCTGACTGGCTTCAGCGGTTACGGCATTGAGCACGCGCTGACGTGCCAGTGCTCTGCCACAGCGGACACCTGGGGTAAAACTCAAAGAGTTCTTGACTCCAGTTCAGAAAATTCAGGCAAACTTCTTCGAGAGGTAAATCTTGGGTCTTTTCCTATAAGTCCCTATGGAATGTTACTCCAGAAAAGTGAAAGAAGATGTCATGCTCAGGTCTCCATACTATAGAAAGGATTTTTTCAGAGCTCAGGAATTCATTAATTCTTTGGAAAGTGCCGGGGAAATCCATCCAGATTACTGAATGGCTTACCATCTATCAGCCCCTTTCACTCCAATGTCACAGGAGAAGCTTACAGGTATTTATGGTCAAAGTCAGATATTCCAGCTTGTCTGAGCATTTTGTCATGTTAGAAGCAGTTGGCTTGCTGAATAAAACCAAATAGAAGGAGATGGAGCAGAGAATAAGGAGCTTATCTATGTAAAACAAGCATAAGTGTGTGAGACTACATCGAAGAAAGAGAAAAATACTGTAGTGCAGTTGGAAAAATCCTTGACATAAACAAGAGTATTAGTGGGACACGTTTGTTCTTGACCAGAACAATGCTTCCAAGCAGGGTACATGCTTTCATTAAAAATATGCATTAATTCTAATTCTTCAGAGATGAATTTCAACTGATTTGGAATTCAGATAAGCCTTAAAGCATTTACATATTTGAGGATTATCTGAATTTTTCCATAGCTGGAGGTCTCATGCTTCCTGGCTTCCATAAGGCTGAGGTTACGGTGCACACCAGGGACTCTTTGCCATTCTCTTCTCCAGTCCCCTAATCACCCTGCATGCTGGGTGATCACCCCTTCTAGGTTTTGTGTGTCCCATACCCCCAAATAGCCTTATGCTGTCTCTGCATTAGGCTATGTAACCCTACTGTTTCTTCCACACCAGGATTCCTAAATATCTCTTTCTGAGGAGGTTTTTTTGCTCTTTTCTTACAGTAGGGTTTTTATGCTATTGCTCTGCGCTAAGGCTCTGTGTTGCACCGCATTCCTTGTGGCCTGTGTCCTGCTTGCAGTCTCTGGGAGCTACCCTGTTTCCTCCTCTTCATGGCAGCTTCCCTACTCCTTCAGAAGGCCTAAGGTTTCCCAGCCCCACTTAGTCCTCAGTGCTCAGCCCCTTATCATTTCAGGTTCCCATATTTTTTTTATCTGGGATAAGTTATTCAATGTATAAGCCTCAGATTCCCATTGCACAGAAAAGGTTTAACAACAATAAGACAGACACCAAGCAAACAGCACTTGTTGGATGCTTGGCAGTTACCCATCCCCTTTATCCTCTTCCCTCCCACAATCACATCTTTTGATTCTCCACCAAAGGAGAATCATTCTTCTCAGCCAGCTATTCCAAATTCCTGAGCCCTCCCATACCATTTACAGAAAGCATTAGCGTATTGTGCTAATAGGTTGAGGCTGGCAATGAAAGGAGGAAGATCTACCTAGCTCGGTTTGACTAGGCTATAGTAATTTTAAATTAGGTTCACATGGGGTTTTAATAGAATTCTGTATAAATTCTAGATGCTTCATGGCCTTCCAGATCAGTGAAATAATAAAGACCTTTTTTTTTTCACCTTCTTACTGAGTCCACTTGTATCTTAGAACTTACAGAAATAATCTAGTTATATGCAAAATGTTTGAGTGGAGATTCACAAACAGACAAAGTCTAATTTCCCTTCAGAATGGTGGCCCTGCTTACAGTCAGTGGATCCCTGTCTAGGCTATGTATGGGATGGAGAGTTGAAAAAACCAACAAATGAAGGACAAGCAAAAAAAATCATGCTTGGGGTTAGGATTTTCCATGCTCCTTATTCATTTTAAAAACTAGCTGCCAAAAGGTCAATGTTATAAAAGAGGAAAGTAAAACAGATAACATGGACAGCTGAACGGTACTATCCCTGTAGGCCTGATTTTTCGGAAACTGATACCTTGCAGGAAAACCTAGGAAAAATAATTATTTTTTGAAGTCATTCTCCCCTACAAGAGCAATTTCACGTACAGGCAGGTGCCAATATCATTAGCTCCTTGGCGTGATTTCCTTGCAGAACAGCTGATAGAAATGACAGGACAGTCTACTTGCACTAGAATACAGATAATTTCTCCTCTTGACATACAGAGCTTTACTGCTTCAGAGAAATATTTACAAACAAAGAGACCAAAATAATGAGGTAAAGTGTCAATGCACAGATCTAAAAGCAATATTCACCTTTTCAAGATCCAAATACATAATTTGTTACTGCTGGGCACCTTGCATTGACTTTTCTGTGCATGCAGAGCAAGAATAGAATGCTACCTACGTATCAGCCTGCTATGCTGTAAGTACAAAGGGCACTTTGATCCCAGTTCAGGAGATTACTGTAATATAGATTTTTTTCAAAAAACAACTTTGCCTGAAGAGAACAACTGCATAAAGCAGCCCGAAGGCATGAAAGCCACTGGAGAACACCATCCACGACTTCTTTCTAAGACCTTCATCATAATCCTATGCAAGGTAAGAGGCAAAATTGCTTTTTGCTAGAATACTGTGAAATCAGTAAAAGCTAAGTGTGCCAGCTCCTGAGAACAGAAGTGTAGACTCAGAGCTGCTTAGGGCATGGGGAGAAGGAAATGCCAAACGGGGTTGTTTCTTTGTCTCTCAACTAGCACAGGGTACAGTACGGACAAGTTTTATGTGATGCAGCTGGAGAAACCCAGCTATACCTCAGTTGCCTATTCCCCCAGTTGACATCTTCTCCCAACTTAGGTTGGGGCCGAGTTCACCCCTGAAAAAAACTCTTACCTAAATGTACATTTCAGAGTGTAACAATAACATTTCCAGCATAACAAGAGTTTGGCAACTAGAACGTTAGCTAGATGTTAGCATAAGCTACCAGTCTATGCTATTTGCCTTGTTTTCTTCTAGGGTACATGGAGCAAGAAAGGACTCATTTCACTTTTCTGAGACCTTTATCTTTCCAAGGGGACAGATGTCTCCAGGTCTCTTCCCAGTGACTAAGAGGAGACCTCAATGTCTACCTGAAGATTAGACAAGATGGATCCTTAGGAACTTCTGGTGAGAGGCAGATGTTGTCAGATCCTATCTAAATTAGGTTCCAGAAAGAAACATTGCTCCTTTTCAATAACCAGGGGAACTGCTTGGGAATCTGTCGCCCAGCATGGACCATTAGCACTGCTTGAGCCAGACAATGAACAAACTCCATCACCCACACACTGAGCCTGCATCTCTATGTGGGAACTGGTCTTACATTGAGAAGAAACATGGAGCAGGCACAGAGAAAGCACTGGGGCATTATCATGCACAACCTGAGGGCAAGGTAGAGAAGATGTCCTAGAACTGGTTGGATTTCTGGGCAAACAAAGGTCATTTGCATTATTTTGTGGAGGGCTTTCTACGAGACTAATCTCCCCAGGCAAGGGTCATGTTTGTGTCCGTTACTTATTCTCTTTGCTCTAGTGATCCTGCAGTCCTTCCATTGACTGTAATGGCAGTGCTATTCATGGACTGACTCTAGGATTGGACTGTTTGCTAAGCAAATAATCAGACTCAGCAGATTTGGAGTCATATGGGCACCCAATAAGCAGCCTGTTTTGTTGTCGGATTGGCTATAAAATCCCAAATCCCCTCAGCTCCTAGCTGCTGGCACCAAGGCTCACTAGCAGCAAACAGAATGGCCTTTCACTCTGTGCTCTTTGTTTTCTTAGCTGGACTGGTATTTTTCTCTGAAGCTGCACCATTGGTGAGTCTCTTTTTATTCAAACTCAATCATTAGAAGAATGATAATCTAGATTTTCTAGATGACTAGCATCCTCCTTATGCATGAAATTCTGTAACCATTAGGCTTTGCTGGAGTGTTATCTTACTCCCATTTTTTCAGTAGCTTCTTCAGAATTATTAAAACTTCTTTTTTGCCATTTACCATCTATTTTAGGATATTACAAAAGGGTCAGGGATCTAGGAAGTGTGACCTTTTATTTCTGTCTGTTCCTGTCAGTTTGTGACTCACATCCCATATCTCCAGTACAGAGGGAGCTTTACCTTCTTCACCAAACAAGTACTTCTCTAAAGCACTAAAAAAATATTGTTGAAGTATGACAAAGGATTCCTCATAGTATAATGAAGCTTAAGAAACAAATATTCTTTCAGCCCTAGGGATGTCATAGGTATTTCTTTGTTGGTTTCCTAGGCTAACATACTCTGCCTGCACTTATAATAATTTACTGTTTTCTTATTCATGACCTCATTGAAAAGGTATACTTTCTAGTATTTTCCCAGGGCCATATGCAACTCTAAATATTTACCAAGCAATCTGTTTGTGTGTGTGTAATAAAGCTATCAGTATAAAGCTCTAAGATACTCTACTTTAAGAAATAGATGTTTGCGAGCTAGCTTTGAATACCATTTGGCAAAGAACTTGCTTTTAAGACAAGATTAATTCTGCAGTAAGAATGCACCTTTTTCTTGAAAGAAGGTTTTTGCAGGGCTGGTGAACAGCTCCTATACAACCTCTCCTGCTTTCCCCAAGGTCTCCCATGGCTCTGTCGATTCCAAATGCCCTCTCATGGTGAAAGTGCTGGATGCAGTCAGAGGAAGTCCTGCAGCCAACGTAGCTGTTAAAGTCTTTAAAAAGGCTGCAGATGGAAGCTGGCAGGACTTTGCTACTGGGTAAGTTACGTGGTCTTATGGAGCCATTTTCAAAGCGCCTCAGGCAAACAATTGAGAAATAAAGGGAATGGAGCCCTAGTCAAAAAAGTAATGTGTTTTCTAGTGTGTGTCTCACTATCACTGTTAACAGAATGTGAATTTGTGTCTAAAATCCATCAGATTCAAGTGGAACTTATCCATGACTGAAATACAAGCTAATTGCAAAAATATGTTGAAATGCTCATCTTATCTTTGTAAGGGGATAGGTTTAATAATTCATTTTTCTCCTAGCTTCAGTATTATCTTTCCTTTCTATAAAAAAAAAAAAAAGCCTATTTACCAGAATTTTGTAGGTAAGCCAGACTAACCTACTATCTTCATATGCAATGGATATAGAGCTTTATTTGCAGCAGTCACATGCAAAATCCTCTCTGTAAGTTTTGTCTGTACACATGCAAATAGTAAGTGCATCAATTGTCTTCTCTGGTGTAACAAATGTGCTGGTTGGAAGAAACTCTTTGGCCACGAAATTTTAAAGAGTCCCGTTGTAACACAATACAGAAGCACAATCTCAGCATTCGTTTGTGGTCATTTCTATAGATCTGCACAGCTTTTGCTAGAATGACAGCTTAATGACAAAGCATCCTCAGAACATCACTGGGGGGCAGGCAATAATACTGTTATCTTCAGTCTGTGGAAAAAGTATGGGTAACAGAGGAATACAGTTCACTAAAATTCAAATAGGTGAGGTATTCAGGCATTTAAGTTTCATTGTTACAACTTATTGGATCAGATTTTTAAATAAGTCAAGAGAAATCTCTAGTAACAGCAGGAGCATTCAATCACAGAATGACAAGCACAAGCACGGACTGGAGCCACCAGAGCATCCAGCTATCTTATACTAGGATTTTTATAGCATAATTTACATAAAAGCCGCAGAAAAAAACAGAGGAGAAGACTACAAGGAGAGAGAAACCTTTCTCTCCATCTGAAGGGTTTCTTTTTACAAAACTCAAACCAAAAAATACTTTTCCCTGTTGAAAAGGAACAAGAAAGGTTAGGAGATTGAAGGAGAAACAAACACCTCTACTCCCAAAGGCTGAGCATTAATCTAGGAACGAATGACTCTCAGAATGGATTTATATACTTTAACGAACAGAGGAACCCCATGAAAAAAATGACACCCTGTTTTCCAGGAAAGAGGACATCAGGATAATATCTTGTCCTTAGTGAGTATTTCTGCCATTATTAGGAAACCCAGATTATTTCAAATGTTTCATCAAGTGCTCTTGAAAATGTAATACAAAATACAATTTATAGAGGAATAAGATAAATGCAACATCAGTGTTAAATGCCCTCACTTTTGGGGCATAGCAGTGTTTTCTTGCTAGTTTTCAATGCTGCTCTCAACAATCCCAAGGAGACAAATCCCGCAGCTCTTCTTAGCCAACCTCTGTTGACACTTTAGGTCAGTACACCCCTGAGAAAATCAAATCACTTCTTCTTAAATATAAATTGAGAAGATTAACTCTAGGCAAGTGAGAAGCATTTTGGTGGGGGAAAGCAGTGGAGAAACATTAAACTACAATTCCTCTTGCAGATAAAGATTTTGACCTTTCCCTTGACTTGCATCTTAACCAAGGCTGCTTTCAGCAATTTCACTGACTTTAGCTGATGACACTTGTTTGAACTGGGTTTTCACATGTGACTACTACAATTTTTTTCTTTTGGGAAAACCAGATTTTCTCTGTGTTAAAGTAGATGAAAATCTGAATGCAATCAAGGAACACAATCTGTAACTACTCCTGTCAGGTTAATAATATTTGAAGTTACAGTACCTAGCAGATGCGTACAGAAAAGTTACTTTTGTAAAAATGTCTATAAAAGTTAGTTCTTTACCTTTTGGTTTGCTTGTTTTTACTTTGCTAACACATTTTAGGGAATTAAGCAAATGCACCTAGCAAGTGGTGAATTGGGAGTAATACTATTTAAAAGGCACAGAGGAAGTTAGCATAGCAACAGCAGACTTTAAGAGGCTTATTTCAAAATTCGTCTAGCCAAATTAAATGTTTTCAAAACTGATCCACATAAAAATATGCAAGAAGAGGTAACTCCAGCTGAGATGCACTCTGAGGAAGGCTTTAGGGCACAGAGATCTGGGAAGCATATGATTTGCATTCTACGTGATCTCCTCCCATGACTAGCTTTGATCTTCTCACTCCTCACATGCTCATGTTTCTGGAAATCTAGGTCTTATCACATAGTTAAAGAGTTGCATTCACCAAACATAGATCTCATGTGACCTAGGTTGTAAATCATGAAAAAAAGAAAAAAAAAAAGACTGCAGCATATTTGAAGTGGTTCCCCCCACCGTCCTTTTTTTTTTTTTAAACTCCAAAACAATAATTCATGTTCCTGAGATATTTCCTCAGCAGTCTGCATCTGAGGTCAGAGTTTATTTCAGTACAGCACGTGTCCCAAGAGTTCATAAATGTCATCGCACAGTGTCCTGGTTTTGGCTGGGATAGGGTTAATTTTCTTCCTAGTAGCTGGCATAGTGCTGTGTTTTGGATTCAGTACTAGAAGGATGTTGGTAACTCACTGATGTTACACTTAGTTGTTGCTAAGCAGGGCTTACACCAGTCAAGGACTTTCAGCTTCCCCTGCTCTGCCGGGTGCACAAGAAGCTGGGAGGGGGCACAGCCAGGGCAGCTGACCCCAACTGGCCAAGGGGCTATTCCAGACCATATGACAGCATGCTCAGTATATAAACTGGGGGGAGCTGGCTGGGGGCAGCCATCGCTGCTTGGGAATGGACTGGGCATTGGTCAGTGGGTGGTGAGCAATTGCATTGGGCATCACTTGTTTCATATATTCTATTACTATTACTATTATTACTATATTATTTCCCTTCCTTTTCTGTCCTATTAAACTCTCTTTATCTCAACCCACAAATTTTACTTTTTTTTCTTTTTTTTTTTTCTCCCAGTTGTCTCCTCATCCCACTGGGGGGGGGGAGAGCGAGTGAACGGCTGTGTGGTGTGCAGCTGCCTGCCAGGTTAAACCACAACACACAGACAGTGTAGATTTAACCTGGCCACAACATACAACTAAGGTCCAGACAGTGAAAAAGAGGATCAGGATTGTAGTCTAGGCTGGAGCCGTAGTAACTTAACCAGCAGTTTGCAAATTTTTTGCAGGAGAAGCACAGCTCTTTTAACTTAACTGTCCATCTTACAGCAGATGCTGGCGGTCCATGTCCTATTAAGAGTAAGCAACCATACTATATTTATTCCCCTACTCAGACATAAATGCAAGTGCTGCCTAGGAGGAATCACTTGTAGCATTTTGCTACCAGGGCTGAATGCAGGGCACCCTCTGCCTTGTGCTAATCCCACCCAGGCTCTGAATCGCACACTGTCCTGTTGGCTGTCAGAGCAGCAGTAATGCTGAAGGGTTTGCTTGTGAGACCATTCGCATTGAATGGCTACCACTTAAAAATTAAAATTAAGAAAGTGCTATTAACTCCTGGCAGTGGGTGGCAGCCTTCAAGTGAACTCTTGTTTCCAGTTCGGCGTGGTTAAAATCTGCAACTCTGGGTCAGCACCCATTAGGGAAAGCACCAATCAAGCTGCATCTGCATTTTTCTCAAACTAAAACGTATTTGTTTGCCTGAACAAAGATTTTGAGGCAGACACCATTTTTCCTTTTAATCGGTTTGTGTCTAGACTACCCAGCTTCTAAGCAGATGTATGTGAATTGCTAAGCTGAACACTGCAGGATCTCAGCAATTCTGTTTCAAGGACGCTCACCAATGAATTCTTTGTCCTTTTACCTATTGCCTTTTGTTAAGGCAATATAGGTTAAGCCAGGAAACACGAACTAAACCAAAAGAAAGCAGATGTGTACACTTCACAAATTGCCTGTGAGCCATGTTTCAGACAGGGCTTGGATTCTCTGCAGGTTTGTTCTACCCTGAATACAGCTGATTTCACTTGTGCTGGACCAGTGAAACTTTTGTCACTCTTCAAAGCACTAAAGTTGAAATACAAGAAAACCTGAAAATTAGCATGGGGTTTTCAACCCTGTTACTTCTTAATTTAAGCAAAAGCTCTGTGATTCAGCCTTTTTCATTCACCACCATTAACCAAAGATGACAAATAAGGAGAAGGAGGAGGCAGCAGCTGGGAAAGAAAAGATGCAACAGCACAACTGATTCTGTCTCTGATAAGCAGCATGTCACTGCTTTCTCCCCTCCCTCTCTTCCTCCTCAAGCTTTTTTGTTTTCTGCCTAGACAACCGCTCCTTGCCATAAGACAGGCAAGGTCCACTAGTTCTTCAAGTCAAGGCTTCATTTTTCCTTCAACTGCATCATGTGGTTGTGAAGTGCTATAAATATAAAATAAAACTTTTCATCTGAGAAAAAAAATGGTAAAAAAAATCAGAAATAAAGTAAAAGGAGGGAAAAGACATAAATGGGGTTTAGGAGCTTGTATGTAAATATTTAAATAGCTGTCATACAAAGTTTGCTCCTTTTCAAAGAAATAGGGTGCAATGCCAGCTATATTTCCTTCTTGCTTCTGGACTTCATTCACCCACAGTTTTTTGTTGTGAGCTGCGTACATAATCTGTGTGAGCTGGGAATTCCTATCGCTCATTTATATGGCACCCAGTAGAAGAGGCCCCTGCTCTTTGACCAAGCATTGTAATTCAAATTAATAAAATCTTGTGATGCTAAATTGCTGTTCCCAGACACTACCACTCAGGGTCACATAAAAACGCATCAGTGTATAGGGGTAAAACCTATAGCCTCAAGTGCTAATAACTAGAGAATGAAATACTTTTCCACTAAAATCTCTCTTCTCTCTTTAATCATAATTTGAGATTTGGCATCTTGCCTTTTGTCATGATGATCCTCTTCCTAAACTACCAGGGAACATCTGGTTCCAGAGGGCACTTGGTACAAGTTAAACATGACATTAAAAGAGGAGTCTGAACTATAATCCCTGCTGTAGCAACAGAAATGACAAAAAAAAAGCCAGACAGCTTTGATTTTTGGTGTATATGGATGAGTTGGTAGCAAGGACAGGCTCCGCAATATGGAAACATATACTACATAGAAGGAGGGAATTATTTCAGATTATTAGAAACCATTCAATGCAGAATTTGGCTGTGCAGCACCTCTGCTATTTAATATTCCACATTGACTGTTGCTGTTTAGTATCTAAATGACAGTATAAAATGTTTATGTAGATATTTTTCCATTACAGGAAAACCACAGAGTACGGGGAGATCCATGAGCTCACAAAAGAAGAACATTTTGGAGAAGGAGTATACAGGGTCAAGTTTGACACCAGCTCCTACTGGAAGGGACTTGGCCTTTCCCCATTCCATGAATATGCTGATGTAAGTATTTGCAAATATACCTAATAACCTATATAAGGTGTAGTGGCATCAGCTGGAAAGAACAAATACAGTCCTTAAATACTGAATTCAGTGAAGCGGTTCACTGCCACATAAGACTGTGTAAATAATATATAGTATTATATAGTCAGCTAAGCCAAAGGAAGTAGCCAACTTCCCTGCAAATACCCACGTACTTCTTCCAAAGCGGAGCTCTGCCCATTCACTCATTCAGACCAGTAGGGACCTTTGTTCAAAAAGAGCTACATTATTCAAAAGCACACAGTGTTTTAAAAGAAACAAGAAAAAAAAAAAAAAATACTGCTTTTATCATTGCTGAAGGAATATAGGGATTGAAAAATCCTTATTTTATAGGAAATGAGCTCTTCTTTAATCAGAAGGATTTCCTTGATTCCTTTTCACCTGAGAATCCACGAATTCTAGTATGACCTGTAATTACAGGATAAAATGATTCTTTCTGATGTGCCCTATTTTTTTCTAGTGTTGCTCAGTACTGAAATATGCAATAGAAAACAAAAGGCATAAAAATATAAAGAAATAACCTTAGTGGGAAAGAAAAAGTAGGCTGTTTCATGAATACCTGAATTTCATAAGCAGGCCAGCAATATAATCATGTCTTGTGACTCTCTTTGCTCTCAGCCCTACACTGATTTATTGTGTGCTCTATTCTATCACATTTACATAGCACTTCCAGAAATTTTGTTTAAAGTCTTTGGGCTTAATCTGCCATTAAATTCAAGTTTCCTCAAATTAAGTAGCCTGGAATGGCTACAGCTTCCACTGTAGAACATTTTAAACCACAAGTTTATGAAGCTTTGTGAAAGACTAAAACAAATGAGTGAGGTCCAGGTCCATAAAAGTCAGATGTGTGGCTTAGGTCATTTAGGTCAAAGAAACAATCCTCAAAAATATTCACTAACCATGTAGATGTCTAAAAGTTGCCAATGGAAGGACTTCACCTCAAAAGGTGCTTGAAAGCACCTGGCTGAGACTGATCCAGCTAGGCTATTGAAGCAGTTTTCCTTTGATGTAATAGCCTACAGGTCAACAAATTAGCCTGAGAAGTGGACAGAGTTCAATGACTGTCTGTGTACAAGATAACTGAAGCCCACTCCTCATGTCCCAGCAGCTTAGACTTTGGCAGGACTGGGACAACACCAAGCTGAGTGGTGCAGTTGACACACCTGAGGGATGGGATGCCATCCGGAGGGACCTGGACAAGCTCAAGAAGTGGGCCTGTGTGAACCTCATGAGGTTCAACAAGGCCAAGTGCAAGGTCCTGCACCTGGGTTGGGGCAACCCCCAGTATCAGTACAGGCTGGGGGATGAAGGGATTGAGAGCAGCCCTGCAGAGAAGGGCTTGGGGGTACTGGTGGATGAAAAGCTGGACATGAGCCGGCAATGTGCGCTGGCAGCCCAGAAAGCCAACCGTGTCCTGGGCTGCGTCAAAAGAAGCATGGCCAGCAGGTCGAGGGAGGTGATTCTGCCCCTCTACTCTGCTCTGGTGAGACCCCACGTGGAGCATTGCATCCAGCTCTGGAGTCAGCACAGGAAAGACACGGACCTGTTGGAGCGGGTTCAGAGGAGGGCCATGAAAATGATCAAAGGGATGAAGCACCTCTCCTGTAAAGAAAGGCTGAGAGAGTTGGGGTTGTTCAGCCTGGAGAAGAGAAGGCTTCATAGAGACCTTATTGCAGCCTTTCAATACTTAAAGGGGTTTATAAGAAAGATGGGGACAGATGTTTTAGTAGGGCCTATTGTGATAGGACAAGGGGTAATGCTTTTAAACTAAAAGAGGGTAGATTCAGTCTAGATATAAGGTAGAATTTTTTTATGATGAGGGCGGTGAGACACTGGCACAGGTTGCCCAGAGGGGTGGTAGATGCCCCATCCCTGGAAACATTCAAGGTCAGGCTGGACAGGGCTCTGAGCAACCTGGTCTAGCGGAAGATGTCCCTGCCCATGGCAGAGGGGTTGGACTAGATGACCTTTAAACGTCCCTTCCAACCCAAACCATTCTATGATTCTATGATTCTTTGTGGACGTGGGTCCAATTCTCACAAATTTCTCAGTCTTCAGTGAGCATCACAAAGTAATGGGGAGCATTATCCTTCAGAAGGATAAAATCACTGATTGAACTGAACTGTCAAAGTAGTCTGCAGAGAAAATGGAGTGTGCTTGCTAGTTCTTAATAAGGTAGTTTTGAATGTACGTTGTTCATCGTGACCACAAGTTTTCTCTTTTCCAGGTGGTGTTCACTGCTAATGATTCTGGCCACCGCCACTATACCATTGCTGCTCTCCTCAGTCCTTACTCTTATTCAACCACTGCTGTTGTCAGTGTTCCCCAGGAATAAACATGTACTGTCATTACACAAATACCCTCCTCCGCTAGAACTATCGTAGGCTTTTAGGAGGAAGGTTTTTTCCTACTGCTAATGCATAACTTTTTGCTACATTAGTTTTTTTTTTCCATTTTGTAACCTGGCAAACTTTAAACAAGTCAATAAAATGTTACTTCTTTAAAACAGTTTGATTCTATTGGTGAAGTTTTATTCTCTTCTAAGGTGTCATGATTTGTGTTCAAGTGCAAAGGACATCTGGAAGTCATGCATGGCACATGGAAGCAAATTAGCACTTGACTGGGGGCTGTTGTCTTCCTCCACTACCTTAAAAAAGTCTCACCAAATGCATTGGCTCAAAATAAGAAAGCTGTAGAGTTGTACTACTTAAAAAATTCAACCAAACGCCCTTTAAATAAGTCGTCCATGCTACCCATAGTTTACACACAGAAGAGACAGTCCCACTATCATCTAGGTCACAGGCTAAACAGGAGAAATTTTGAATTCCTAGCAGCAGAACAAACAATGCAGAAAGACTACTAAAATACATACATGCAGAGAGCTGAAAGAGTTCATATCTGTGTACCTTTACCTAAAACTTCAGGCAAACCTCAACATTTTGTGGGTTCAAGAGGCACGTTTGCTGCTCAGTCAACCTAGGAAGTTCTGAAGCCATTTCAATTAGCACCCTTTTTAACAACTTTGATCTTTAATCCAGTTGGCTACTGTATTCAGGTACATTCCAATTAAATGTCTAGTAAGTTAAATCTCTAGCCATTATTTAAAAAGTCCTAAAATAGAAGCATCATCTCTTCATATTTTTAGAAACAGTAAAAGGTAAGCTATAGAGTGACTGTGATTCAAAAAATGTTGATAAACTGACCAAAGAGTTTGAGGGCTTTAGCAACAATTTCTGTAGACTGATGGCCTACTGTATTTAAAACATCCCGAGGCAGAGGAATTGTTGTTTAACAGGATTACAGAAACTACAGAGATTGCTGCTGAAATCACGCCATTCAGAAACCATCAACACTCATCTGCCACTGACCTTGGAGTTTATCTCTGCACCCAGAGCCTGCCGGGATGACTGCATACCAAGTGAATTTACAAGTTACAAAAGCTTGCCTTTAACGTTTCACCATTTGGTTACTTTTTTGCCTGATTTCTGGACACTACCACAGTTACATAACTCTTGTAAGCAGTACAAATAGTTCCAAAACAGCACCCATCTTAAAGAATGCAGATTTCATGGGATCTTACTATTCCTAGAGCTTGAAAACCAGTCGGCTTGGCTTGCAGTGGGCTATGCCCAGCCCTCAAAATATGACCTAAATATGTTCATAGAGTTGTGGTGTAGTCATAAAAACAAACCAAAAAACTGCTCTGCATGTAGTCACCCACCTGAGGACAGGATACACTGAGTATGAGAGCACACGTGCATGCATCTATGCAAAGATCAGAAAGACAAAGTTTAATTTCAAGAAGCAACAGTTCCCTAATACAAAGCACAGACTTCTGGTGGGGGCTGACTTGAGGTTGTACAGGGAAAGTCCTGAACTTGCATTGAATCTAAGGTACAAGTAAAGGGACGGGACTTAAAACACTGTTTAACAGTGCTCCAGAAATGGGTATCTAGTTATCATGCTGGAAACCAAAAGTAACATATTTTTCCTCCAGGGGAATGCATAAGATAACCAGATAGCCCACACATTATCCACTTAACTTTTATCAGAGGTGGAGGCAAGGCCACCACAGAGAGAAATCTCGTAATAGATACATGAGTGAGTCAATTAAACCAAGCTGTGAACACAGAGAAATTCTCACTGAAACTGAAATTGCTGAGTGGACAAGAAATTTGTATTTCTCTCAACTATATGAGATGCATACAGCACTATCCCTCAAAAAAAAAGAAAAGGAGAAAAATAAACCAGACATTCTTTCCAAGAAAACAGATCACTGCAGTTGAGCTAGGCAATATTCATATTTCCAGAGGCAACGATAGAAGAGACCTATTTTTGCAGACAAGGTTCATGTTTGTATGGGTTACTTATTTTCTCATTGTTTACTAAGTAAATAGTATGAAATGGCATGTTGAAAGTCATATGGGTTTTCTGATAAGTAGCCTCCGTTTAGAGGCCTTGATATAAAAATCACAGATCCCACCAGTTTCTATCTGCTGACACTGAGACTTCCTAGTGGTAGGCAAAATGCCTTTTCATTCTGTAGTTCTTGTTTTCTTAGCTGGCCTGGCATTTATCTCCGAAGCTGCACCACCGGTAAGTGTCTCAGGATTGAGATCCTTCATACTGATGTAGTCCCAGATTTTTTTAATACTTTAATTAGTGTAAATGAAAAATATTCCATTTTATTGCAATTATTTTGTTTTTATGGTATGTATTGACTGTAGTTCTCTCCTATTGCTCTTTTTCTGGTCCTTCTTTCTCCTTCTCTAGTGATTAGTGAGAGGGCTTTAAGGTTAGACAAGCATCATTCGTCATTAGACTCAGCGACTACATGAAAAACAATGTAAGAGAAGAAAGGGGAAAAAATATCATATTCAGTACATGAAAGTCTGGGTCCTGTTGAAAAGTAACTAATAGCCCTTGTAACACAACGAACAAGCTCCTGTCATGAGGGATTTCATTGCCTGTTGTGAGATCCATGCTCGAGAAATGGCTTCTGTAGTCCTCTCCCTCACTGCTCTACCCACTACAGCTCTACCCCATGCAAGCAGGAAGGGATCTCAACGCTCACAGATGCAAGAAAAGAACCGAGCCAAAGCCAGGATCCCAGTTCCAGAGGGCTCATTTATTCCAGCAAAGCAAGCTAGAGACACAGACACTTCAGCCTGAAACTCTCCTTGAACAGACTTGTCTCTCTCTCCCTTCCGTGCCTCATTCTTCCTCTCTAGCTCTGATCTTTGGGACAATGAAGACCTGACCAACCTTTGCAAGGAAGGAGGCTTGCATTGAGCTCCCAGGGTGTAAAAGGCAGGAAAATAGGTAGTGGCACTAGAGCCCCCATTGCCGATGACTCAAACGAAACACTAGCAGGAGCCTGTGCACTCCATCAAAAGGAGCCTGAGGAACCAGGGCATACAGGCCGTATAGATACATGCTGATAAATTGGTCTGATACAGGGCAGGGCTCCTGGCTGTAAGAGGGGATGTCAGAGAGGGTCCTTAGTTTTTAACATCTACATCATGATTCATTTCGCAATGATTAAATGGAGATCAATGATTGCTATTTTGAGATCATCTTGGACTAGCACCTTCCACAAAGCTCTATTTTCCCACTTTTCATATAGGTAATGGAAAGTCACAGCCCTGATTCAACTCTGCCTTTGAATAGGTAAAACATCAGGTCATAACCACGGCTTCTGATGAACATGTTGGGAGTGAAACTACAGCCACGCCATGTTCGCAGGAAGGTTTTTCTCTCCTATCCCTGAATACCTGCCAGGGGCTGACAACTCCCATCCAACACAGTGTTAGGAGAGAGCCCGTATGTGGTGCTTACCAAGTTGACAGCAGAATTAAGATAACTCTATGGCAACGAGGCACCAGAGGCTCTCAAACCCAGAAAGCTGTGCTCGAATTGCCACTCCAAAATACAGAGGAAGAGTTGCCAGATTTGTAAACATTCCTACTACCTTTGATGATTTAATGATTTCCTGTCGAGGTCACAGCTGTAGCTAAGCCATGACAAGGCGCCCCCAGGAGCGTGTTCTCACGCAGGGCCGCAGGGCCTCCTCAGCACACGTGGCTATGCTCCCCCCGCCAGCTCCCAGCACCTTCCCCCCTCCCCGGTTCCACCGTATCCAGCCCCCAGACAGCTTCAGGCTACCTTGCTGCAGTGCACGGTGGTCTTGCTGAGGAAAACACGGTATATTCTGTAGATCTAGAGAGTAAGATTCCTTACTGCTTTATTATCCACCACTGCTTATCTTTCTTAAAACGTAAAAATTCTCTCTTCCTACCTGAAGGACTCTGCTGACTCCAAGCATCCTCTTTTTATAAAAGTTCTGGATTCAGTCCGAGGAAGTCCAGCTCCAAATGTGCCAGTTAAGTTATATAAAGAAGCTGCAGATGGATCTTGGGAGCTGTTAAATTCCAAGTAAGTCATACCAAAATAATGAGTGAAAGAAGGGAAAGGCAATGGGAAGAAGCCAAATAGTTAAAAACCAGTTTCACATTCCCTAATATGGGAATAAATATCTTTACTCAAAGGAAAGATAACGTACTATTGAATGAATTTGCTGCTGACTGCCTTTTCACTGTACTACAGTTTCAACTACCAAAATGGTTTTATAATGCTTTATAATTACCGTGAGCACAAGACAGTATTTTAAACTACCCTCTAATTCAATCATCGCTTCTCTCCAATTTCATTACGAAGGACTGTATTACTTTTCAGTACCCACCAATGAACTGCTGCATTGCTACCAGATGAACCAGGCAGACTCTTTCAGTTTGTTTGAAACTAAGGCTCTGGCTGAGAATCCTACCTTTATTGGCTATTTCCCTTCTTTCTAAAGGGACTTCCATCTCATACAAAACCACAGCTTTAAAAAGAACACAGGGAACTGTTTTGAACATGTACCACATCATAATTAATAGCCGCCTTTGCTTCAAGAAATAGGAATCAGCCAAAAGGAGAAAATTTGGCTATGAAGTTTTCTCACTTCCTCCCCCACAGAGAAGCAATTACATCTAAAATAAGAAAAAGAATCTCCCACGTATTTAAATGCTGCCACGTCTTTTAAAAAAACGTAATTGTAGAATTTCAAATGTAGATGACTTTTTTTTAAATTACCCTCCATTTTAGTATACATTAACACTTTAAAAACTCAAGAGCAATTTTTACTTAATCTGAAATGAAATTGAAAAAATTCTTAAGGGGTACACAGAAGGAACACTCGTTCTCTATTCAACAAGCAACATCCCACTTCCAACTTTGCTCGCCAAGATATTTGCAAGTCTTACCCTATTCTTCCAGGTCTGTTAACTATA